CCTGGGGGCCCTGGGGGAGGCTGGCCCGGCCCTGGGGTTCCTGGGGGCCCTGGGGGAGGCGGGCCTGGCCCTGAGGGTCCTGGGGGCCCTGGGGGAGGCTGGCCCGGTCCTGGGGTTCCTGGGGGTCCTGGGGGCCCTGGGGAAGGCACGCTTCTGGCTTCAGGCTGTGGCACATTTGACTTAGGAGAGCTTATCGAAAGGAGCGTCCACATCTGCAGGGCCCTTGGGGATGGGGAGAGGGCCGCTGCTGGCCCCTGAGGACCTTCCTGAAAGTGGAATGGAACACTGGAATGCTGGGGGGTCCTCACCTGTCACGTTCCTCTTCCTCCCTTCCCCTGTTACCTTTGGTTCATGAAGTAGCCCCTGGTCGGGTCAGCCAGGAGGGGTCTTGTGTGCTGTAAAGAGCCTTCATGCCAAGAGGGCCTGAGTTCTAGCGGGATCTCAGACATATCTTGGTCGGGTGGCCCTGGGAGCAGGACTTCACCTTTCCTTGCAGAGAAGGTGCTGCCCCACCCTGGCAGAGAGAGAGGTGTCCACACTCAGGAAGCCCCAGGTCCAGTCCCCGTCCTGGCCTGTGGCTCTTGTGAGTGCCGAGGAGTCAGGCTCCCATTCTCCTCTCCTGCTTCTGGCCCTGCCCCCCGCTGCGTCTTTTTACTTCTTCACTTGGCTGTAGGTTCCTCGTCTTCCCTTTAGGAGCTTAGGTGTAGGTAGCACCCAGGGAGTTGTCTTGGGCGCTCGGTGACTTCCTTTGCCAGCTCCTTGTGCCTGTTCCCCCTTGCTGCTGTGGCCAGTGGGGCTCTGAAGGCCACAAGTGTAGATCACACAAGGGGAGAGGGAGAGGCCCGGGCACCATTTTCTCAGTGACCTTGGTCAACTCAAGGACTAATGTGGGCTCATGTGCATTTTCTGCTTTAAGATTGAGAATGAAGAATACCACGAAGCCTTGTCTCTGGCTCAGACCTACGGGCTGGACACTGACCTCGTCTATCAGAGGCAGTGGAGGAAGTCTGCTGTCAACATTGCTTCCATTCAGGACTACTTGGTAAGTGAGGTATCCTGAGCCATTCTAACAGGTGTTTGCTAATGGGGGTGCATGTGTGTGTGTGTGTGTGTGTGTGTGCGCGCGCACATGTGTCTATGTGTGCATGTGCTTGTGTGCACGTGTGCATGTGTGTTTGTGTATGCACCTGCAAATGTATGTGCTTGTGTGCGTGTGTGTATGTGTGTGCATGCGCTTATGTGCGCGTGTGTGTATGTGCTTGTGTGCACGTGTGTGTGCCTGTGTAGGGGGGCAGAGGCAGCATCCCTTTTTCTGCCCCCCCAGCACTGTAGAAGGAAGATCACACCTTGTCTGACATACTGTCCTGATGCCTGTTCCATTGAGGACAGGGCTGTTTTGCTTATGTTTTATTCTGTGATTAAAAAGCTGGAATGAATAGTTATAGGTAGCGAAAACCTGTATATCATTTTCATCAATTCAGTGCTACGACAAAATTCCAAGATGATCTTTTTTAATTACTCCATTTGAGAGCTTTGTAGGCTGATGGAGAGGAAAGACCATAAGTCTGGGCCCCATGAGACTGAGTCCTCCTGGCTCAGCCACTGACTTGCATGGTGACCTTGGGTTCATCACCGCCTCTCTGGACCGCATTTTCTTCATCTGTGTAAAATGAGGGGGTTGGAGTAGATCAGGGTTTTTTTTTTTAAATTAAATTATAGGTTTTTCAATGAGCAGAAAATCCACCTGTGTACCTTCCTCTCTTGAAAAAGAAAGGAAGAAAGCCTTTTGTGTGACGTGCATGGTCAAACCAGACGCCTTCCCCTGTTGGCCGACTGTGTCTCTGTCTGCCCCTAGAGGCTGTGCCCTCTCTTTCACGAGGTGGGCAGCATCTTTCGTCATGGTCAGTCATTGCACTAGTGAGAGTTTTCAGTGTTGTTATTGTTTACGCACTTCTCCTGGCTCCGCTCATTTCCCAACACTCCTTCGTTCAGGTCTTGGTGGGTTCTTCTGGAGCCCTCTTCTGGCATTATTTTTTATAGGACACCAGTATTCCATCACATTTTTATACCGTAGTATCTTCAGCACTCCTCAGTTGATGGACACTCCCTTAGTTTTCAGTCTTTGCCACAGAACAAACGGATATAAATATTTTTGTGCATATGGACCTGTTTTCTTTTTCTTTGATTGGAGTATAGACCTCAGAGAGGTATTGCTTTGTCAAAGGTCATACACTATTCATAATGGCTGGACCAGTTCACGACTCTACCAGTAGTGCATTCATGTACCTATTTTCCCACACACCCTCCTGCATTTGTTATTTTCCTTTTTGTGAACTTTGCCAATCTGATGGGTGTGAGTTGTTTTAATTTTTGTTTCTCTAATTGTTAATGATTTGGAAAATTTTTTTCATACAGCTATTGATAGATTTTATTTCTTCCTTTAACACATACTGTTTATATCCTTTAAGCGTTCACAAATTGGGGTATACTTATTCTTGTAAATTTTAATCAGTTCCATATCTATCTGTCTATCTATCTATCCATCTATCCATCCATTCATCCATCCATCTATCTGTCTATCTATCTATCTTAGAGATGAGACATTACCAGAGAAACAAAGATTTTTTTTGCCCATTTATTTGTTTCTCTTCTAATTTTAACTGCATTGATTTTGTTTGTGCACAAAATGTTGTACTTTTATGTAATGACAATTTTCAGTTTTATGTCCTGTGAACCTTCATATCCCCTATTTGGTCATGAACTCTTCCATCCATGTATTTGACAATTGGTTTATTCTTTGCTTCTCTAATCTGCTTATAATGCTATCCTTTATGTACTCATTTGGAATTTATATTTATATATGGTGTGAGATGTTGGTCTATACTCAGTTTCTGCCAGACTGTTTTCCAGTTTTCCCAGTGATTTTTGTTGAATGGTGAATTCTTTCTCAGTAGCTGCGATCTTTGGGTTTGACAAACAGGTTCCTGTGTTTATTTGCTTTTATATTTTGTGTAATCTGTTGCGCTCATAGCTCTCTTTATTTCTTAACTAGTATAAAATTATTTCAATGATTACTGCATTTTAGTATAATTTGAGATTTTGTACTTCTAGATCTCCTTCCTTTCTACTTTTTTTCATTAGTTTCCTTGAGATTTTTGACCATTTCGTTGTTTGTTTTTCTAGATGTGAAAAAGGAATCCTTTGGTAGTTTGTTTGGTATGGCCTTGAATAAGTAAGTTAATTTAGATAGTGTTTTCATTTTTATTTTGTTGTCTTGCTTTATTCATGAGCAGGAAGTATTTCTCCAACTGTTTAGATCTGTCTTATTTGTGTAAAGAGTATTTTATAGTTGTACATGTATAGCTCCTGCATATGTCTCGGTAGGTAGATTCCAAGTGTTTTATGTATTCTTTATTTATTTTAAATGGGATTTCTCTTTTTCTTCCTTCTGTGTTTTGTTGCTAATAAGCCAAAATGCTGATGATTTATGTGGGTTTGTTTTTCATTCCACAGTTTTGCTGAAGTTGTTGATTATTTCAATTAATTTTTTTGGTTAACTCTTGAGAGTTATCTAAACCATCATATCATCTGCAAAAAGTGATTTTTTTCCTCTTTGTCTATGCTTATTCCCTTAGCTTTTTTTTGTCTTATCACTTTAGCTAACATTTCTATGCTGTATCAAATAGTAATGATGATAATGGACATCCTTGCTTTATCCCGATCTAATTGGAAAGGCCTCTAGTTTATTGCCATTACAGTTAATACTGGCTTTTGGCTTTGGATACAAACTACCTACCATATTAAGGAAAGAAGCATTTCTTCCTATGCTTTCCAGGGTTTTTAATAGGAATGGGGTCTATCTTCTCAAAAATTTCTTTTCTTTTTGCATAGTTATATGATTTTGTTCTTGTTGTTAATATGTGGATCAGGAATTCTTAAGCTTTTTTGTATCTTGGAACCCTTGGGCAGCCTGGTGGGATTTATCAGTCCTGTCTCATAATAATGTTTTTAAATGAATAAAATAAAAAAAAAAAACCACAGGATTACAAAGGAAACAGTTATATTAAAATACAGTTAACAAAATGTTTCAAGCAAAATTCAGGATCTTCAAGCTGAGAACCCCTGGACTAGAAGATGTCTAAGACTCTTTTTGGCTCTGACGTAATTTTATATTCTGATCGTTCTTACATATTTGTTCTTTAACAAGACAAAAAAGGTAATTTTTTTTTTAAATGAGGGAGGGAAGAGACTGTATAAGTGAAAAGGCAGAAAAAGTGACCATTTTAAAAGGAGGTGGTCTCACCGAATTCATTCTCTCTCCTCGGTCATGTTGTTAAGCATTAATTGAGCACTGGCAGATAAGTGGCAGCCAGTGGGGCCACGTTAAAGGGTGTTCTCTGGGGACTCTGGTGGCTTGGGTCATGCTCCTGGCGGTCAGGCTATGGAACGCACAACTATAGATAGAGAAGCCTGTGCCAGAGCCCCTGTCCTTTGGGGTTCACAAACTTCCTGGCAAGAGAGGACAGAAAACATGAACATTACCACCCAGCCCTACCTGTAGACGTGCTCAGGGCCGGGTGTGAAGCACCAGGTGCTTGCTTATCCACAGGAGGGGCAGAAGGGCCTGTGGACCAGTGCTAAGCAGGGATCAAATCTGGGCGAAATCCTGACCTTTCTCGGCCTGAGCGCGTGCTCTGCGCATACTTGGGACTTAACTGATGGAATCGAGTCGGCCCGAAGCCTCGACCTGCTGGTGAAGAATGTGGCAGGAGTCAGGCCTGCTGGGGACTGATTGGCTTCTGGCTGTGTCTGGGCTCTGGGTTGGGGAGTACAGAGGAAAGGGTGCAAATAAGCTGCCGGAGGCGAGTTGAGCCAGATTCTGGAGAGCTTTGAGGACCCATCCGATGAGCTGCGGTTTTTGAGCACTTAGGAAAGTGCTTCTGGCAGTCTTGGCTGCGTGGATGAGGGCTGGGGCAGGAGAGGAGCCTGGAGGTGAGACGACAAGGTGGAGACCCTTCCTATGATCCAGGGGGAGGCCGGATGTTCCTGAGTCAGGCTGGGGACAGTTCAGAGAGAGCACGGGGAGGACTGGGCAGCCGAGTGGAGGAAGAGCGTAACGGAAGCAGGCGACTCGGTGATTGGGCCGCCTGCATGGGGGTGAGCATGTCTGTGGGAGAGAGAAATGTTGGTTATATCGGGACAGTGTCCTGGAGACAGACTGCTGTTTGGCTTCCTGCAGACTTCGCGCCGCCTAGAAGCTTTTATGTGTGTTCAGAGCGTCATCCCGACCTGGTAGCATGTTTGTGAACCTTGCGGGCACCTGTGGTCATGGAGCCGATGACTCTGGCATGGGCTGCCATCGTGTGTAAGAGCTGTCCTCCGCATGCCTCATAGAGATCAGCCGCGTCTTCCTCTGTTTCAGGAAGAGTGTGTAGGAGCCGTCCTAACGGTGTCCTCGCCGTTTCTGCCACGTACTCCTGCTCTGGGTCGGCAGAGGGACGTGGCCTCCGCACGCGCGGTAGCCTGGGCTCAGGCTTCTTGGGAAGGATCTTTGGAGACGTCCAAAAGGACCCTGACCGCAGGGTCACCCTCTGGGGGAGGGCAGCGTCTGGCTCTCAGTCAGCCACGCATTGCCGTGGCCTTCTCGTCATCTCTGTGTCTGTGCTTTGTTCCCAGAGTAAGATTAAGAAGCGCGCTTGGGTTCTTCATGAATGCTTGGAAAGAGTCCCCGAGAATGTCGAGGCAGCGAAGGAGTTACTTCAGTATGGCTTGAAGGGCACAGACCTGGAGGCCCTTCTGGCCATCGGGAAAGGAGAGGACGACGGCAGGTGTGTGTGCGGGATGTTCGCTGGCCGGGTTTGTAGAGGAGGCGCAGGCATATCAGGGGCTCCTGGGGCTTCTCCCCGGTGTACGTAGGGGCCCAGCCTTGTCAGGGGCCCCTTGTGCTGAGCAGTCGCCTCTGCAGGGGGGTGCCCTGACTGACCAATAGCAGATGACTTTATCTGGGCGTTAAGGTTTGCACGACGCTGTCTGCACATTGTCTTCCCGTGGCCCTGGGAGGCAGGTCGCCAAGGCATCTTTGTCCTCCTTTTACATGTGAGGAGACTGAGGCACTAGAGACCCGATTCCTTTGCCAGGCGTGGCGAGTGTCAGACGCTTGAATTAAACCCCGGTTTTCTTCCTTCCTCTAATCTCACATCTTTGTCACTCCACCAGCCGCTGTTCTTTCTGTTAATGCAAACACCAGCTCAGATACTGTTTGTTAACGTTCATGTCTGTGCGTGAAAGGAGACTCGGCCGCCCGACCCAGGCTTTGGGAGACCTGGGTTTGGTCCTGGTTCTGTCATTTCTTTGATGTGTGATTTGATGTAAATGGTTTCCCCTCCCTGTGCCTCAGTGTCCTCCTCTGTAATGTGAGGGCCTTGTTCTGGGTAATCCTCTGGGTCTCTGCTCACTGCAGCATACTCTGCCTGGGACGGACAGATTGGCCTGGAGCCAACTCACGATTCGCTCATTCACACTAGACTGAAGCCCTTCCTTTGTAAGACCTCGTAGGAGCTGCCCCTGACGCTCTGTCCCTGGCTCCCTGCCCTGTGCGTGCACGTACTAGGGTACCTGCACTTGGGAAAAGTGGCCCTTTCCCCGGTTCTATGAGGCTGCTGATTTCCTGCTATGAGGAAGATGGATGGCTTTGGAGAGGTTTCAGTGAGACTTTGTGTGGATCAGTAAGGCTTATTCCAAAAGCAAAGCTGATCTTCCAATAATGAATTTATTGTTACAGTTTTTCTGAAAAATCAGTTGTAATAATAAAATACAGAAGAGTGTAAAAACTGGTATTGAGTAAATTAATTTTTAAAGAGGAATCTCTTTTCAATCAACCTTGATTTGGTTTTTCCGTCTTCCTTCTAGATTTATCTTGCCTGGGGGGGTCGACATTGCTGAGGTACCTTATGAGGATCTTTTGTCACCTGCTGAAGATGTTGAAAACACAGAGGAGAGAGGGCCCAAGAGGAGAACAGAGCTCCTGCAGCTAGTCAACTTTTCACAGTAAGCTGTGCGCGCTGACTGCCGGCTTGCTTAAGCAGTGTTTCCGGACGCGCTGGCCCTGGGCTTGGTTGGTTGTGGTGGCTTTGCCGTGGGCATCCGTTGGGAGAACGAGGGTCTGGTCCAGCTCTGCTGGTCAGTAGGTGGGCGCCTATGGAAGCCTGGCTTAGGACTTCTTGGTATCTCATTTCCTTCAAATCTGAACTTGGGGTTAGACTGGATGATGCCTCAGGCACTGTTGAGCTGAATCTAAGAAGTGGTTTCGATCTCCACTGAGACCACAGTGGAGCTAGCCATAGGGACCTTCTTCATGTAAGGAGTAGTGGCCCTTTTTCACTGGTGAGGAAACCAAGGCTCTGGGGGCCTCCCAGAGTGTGCAAGGGATGGTTTGTGAGTGACTTGAAAGGGCCCCGGAGCACCGGCTTCTCCTCCCAGGCCCTCCCCCCATGCCTCAGCCTAGGTTCTGGGGGGCTGGGATGAGGCCAAAGCCTTGGACTCTTGGGTGAGGAGTTGGGTTTCCAAGGGAAGGCCACGTCCGACCTTGGAGAAGCAGGAGTGAGGTGATGAGGAAGGAAGATGATTGGATGTTGGGTATATCAAAGCTTGGCGCGGCTGAGAGTGTGGGGCCGTGGGCCGAGCCTTGGAGGGCAGATGCAGACTGGGAAAAGGGCATTGAACCTGGCATTTGGAATCCGTCACTCAGTCAGTGTTTATTAAGTGCCTGCTGAGTGTGGGCACAGAGCTAAGCGCGGAAAGAGGTCCAAGGCAGCCTCTGCCCTCTGGGAGCTCCCCGGCTATCGGGAACCAGGGCTGGGGGTGGAGAGCGTCTGGAATCGGCCTGATCCGTAGAGCCGAGGTCTGCAGGTGGAGCCCCTGCTCGCTCTGGAGCGGGGAGGGGCCTCAGGAGGCATCTGCCTTGTCCGCCAGCGCGCGGGGCAGTGATTCCTTGGTCCCTCGTCGCCTCCTGCGGAAGGAGGACGTTCCCTCCTAAGGCTGTGGCCTCTCCCCTTGGTTCTGGTTGTGTGTTTTGGGGCCGAGCAGAATGAATCTCGAGTCTACCACTGAGGGAGTTGTGGGATCTGGGGCTGACGTGCTTCCTTTGGCTGCAGGTTGACGTTGGAGCAGAAGGAGCTGTGCCGGTGCAGACTGAAGCTATTGACCTACCTGGACCGGCTGGCGACGTACGAGGTGAGGCCCCTGGAGCATCTGGTCTCTGAGACCCTCAGCAGCACCACCGTCAGGAGCCTTTGGGCCCCACGGAAGCTTTTGAGTTCCACCGAGGGGATGGGTGGGCCTGGGCTCTGGCCACTTCCGACCTCCTGGGTCGGCCTGCCTTTGCATTCATCCACGATTCTCTACAAAGACCTGTAGCCGTGAGCCTTTCCATGCTTCCCAGAGCATCCGGGTCCTCCCAGCCTCTGCCTCCTCCTCCTCCTCCCCCTCCCACTGCTTCCTCTCCGGCTTTCTGCGGTTATGCTCATCTCTTCTGCGCCTCCTGCGCCTCCTCTTTGCTGACCACGTCTTCTTCCCCCCTGCTGTATCTCCCACTTCTTGACGTTGCCCCCTGTTCTCATGGCGATGGGTCCCTTCTTTTCACCAGAGCCAGCCCCACACTTGCACGCCAGGTCCATGCTACCTTCTGTCCCCTAGGTCTCCCCTGCCCTCAGCCAGGCCTGGCCTCTCAGCCCGTATCCCTCCATCTTGGTGCCCTGGATGCGCCTGCTTCCTCTCCTCTGTCTCTCCTGTTTATTTACCTCATCAGATGGCCTCTTCCCAGGCTTCCTGCCTTGTCTCTGCCCTCCTTTGTCTCTGTTTGCCGCCCCCTGGTTTCCTTCCATCCTCCCTCCCTGACGGTGTGCGGCGCGTCTCCTTTACTGCGTTGCTCCCGTGCCGCACCCCCTTGTCAGAGGATGTACCCCACAGATCTAACCCATGCCCTCCCTCTTTCCTCTACCCTGTCTCAGTAACCTCGTGTTACCTTTCAGGGACCCTCCCAGATCTGTATATTCAAGCCTGGTGTCCCTCAGACCCACAGAGCTGGGGAGCTGGAAGGGACACGAGGTGCCGTGCACAAGAAGGCTCCTTCCATAACACACATACAAGTGGCCGTGGGGCATGGGCCCACAGACCCGCGAGGAGGGGGGCCCGGCCCTCCCCAGACCGCCTGCTCGGGGCTGGGAAAGCACTTGTCCTTATTAGCTGTTGCCTCCTGATGTCAGGTCTGAATGGACCACTTCCTAACTTCCGTCCACTGCTCCTGGTTCTGCCCCCTGGGACCCCCCTTGAGGACGTCCTGCCCCGTATCCATACAAGCTCTCCCCTTGGCCCCGAGTATGGTCTCCTCTGGCCTACCCATGCCTGGTGTCTTCCTGGTGACACTGTCCAGCTTGAGGTGTGGCCCCGGGGCCGGACATAGGCCTGTAGACGCTGGAAGAGTCCAGAGGACGGTGGCACTCTCGCCTCCCTCTGAAACGCTTCTCTGCCTACCTCTCAAGTCAAAGATCTGGGTCCACGGTCAGAGGAGAGCCTGCCTGGATTGCTTGTCTGTCTGCCTGTAATGACGGGAAGGTTCCGTGTGTGGCCCAGCTGGAATCTGCCGGCTCCTCCCAGGGTTTGTCAACTTCACAAAACTTAGGTGAAAACTGGGTTTATTCCCAGAGAAATGACCACTTTGAGGAACCTCTTTCACCATCCATACCAAAGATGGCATATTTGGGAGGGCAGGAGGGAGGAGACGCTGGTGTTTGCACCAAAAGCGTGTGACAAGGAGGGGGAAAGGCCAGGAAAGGTGGGACCAAACCCTCCCGGAGGGGAGGGGCAAGGCCAAGGCCGAAGTAGAGTTCTTTTCCCTTGGGAGGGTGAAGAGTGGAGGTGTCCTTATCTGCAAGGGCCTGGCTGCACGCTGGCCGGTATAGACTGGCTGGCGCCTGTCTTCACTCCCCAGGACACATGGGGAGCTCAGGGATGCAGATAACAGCTTATGTCAGCTTGGAGCAGGCGGGGGGGGGGGGGGCTTCATCCTTGACACATTCAGGGCCTCCCGCGTGCTGTGGCTCTAGTGTTTCTGGAAAATATGACAGCGCGCAAAGAGGAGCTCGGGGACCCCTTCACATCCCTTAACCAAGCTGAGGATGTGGGTATACAGCACAAAGCACGGAATGGTCAGACTCAAAAACCCAGCCCACGGGTGCACGGGCATGGGGCCCACGATCTGGCTTGATTCCCGCTAGCGTTACTATGTGTGCGTCTCTGGTCATGTTACCCAGTGTCCCTGGGTGGACTCAGTTTCCTCATCTGTGAATTGTGAAGTGAGGGCTGGGTGGCCTCTGGGGCCTGCTGCTGCTCTCCTCCGTGACCTCCTAGCGTCGCTGATGGGGGGGCCTGCTAGCTCTGGGGCTGCACCTTCCAGTCTTGGGCGTGCTGACCATCAGGCACCTTGTTCTTCCAGACATCAGGTCGAAGCGGGCCTCTTGGTAGCCTCCGCCCTTTGGGTCTGGTTGTGCTGCCTGGCGCCAGACAGGAGGCTCCTCCCTCCTCTTCACGGCTGCCCTGAAACCCTGCCTCTCATACTGCGATGGGGGCTCGGGCACCAGTGACAGAGACCGCCAGGAGCTTCCCTTCTAACAGGGGTACAGCCTCGGGGCCAAGGAGAGACCCGGCAGTTGCCTCCCGCCAAGCCAGGGCCATGCTTGGAGCGACCACCTTGGGAGGGTGCCATATTTATTTCACTTGGGAATTTCCCTTGATGCCTCTGGATTTTCTGGGGTGAAATCACAGAGCTTGCCCATTCCTGCCTGGTGGGGCCTGGGGGAAGCCGGCATTGTCTCTGGCCTCTTCCTCCATTAGCTGGGCTCTTTGTTGATGGCAAAGGCTGTAAATAAATGCTCAGGACGGAGGTGGGACGATGGAAAGGTTCCTGCCTGGTGGTCACTTTTGGTTGACCTGCTCTGATTGATGGCGTTCTCAGTTGCCCGTTAGTTGATTGGGTGGCCAGGCTTTGTAATGGCGGTCAGTCGTTTTTGAGAAAACCGAGGTGGGAAGGCAGCCACAAACACTTCTCTTACAAAGGAGCCGAGAGGGAAGGGAGTTGTTCTGAGCTCATTTATCTTAGCAGGCCAAGGTGCCGAGGTTTTAATATTTATTTTCTGTCGCCATATTTAAAAGACTTTTCATTAAATCGTTGTTTCCCCTCAGGAAATCCTTGGAGTGCCTCATGCAGCCGAGCAGAGATATGATGCTGAATTCTTTAAGAAGTTCAGAAATCAGAATATTGTTCTCTCAGCGAGAACCTATGCCCGGGTAATTTGTTTTTTGTTTATTCGCGTCATGTGCGACTTTGGGCTGTGCAGCAAATGTTCCTGATTGAATAATAGTACATACTGATAAGGATGGGTGGCCGCTTGGTGATGGGACTGAGAATGGGCCTGGATGCAGGGGGGACCTGAATTCAAGTCCTCGTGCCTGACCCTGGTGGGCTGTGGGGTCCTGGATCAGACACTCACCCTCTCTGAGCCCCAGGTGACTCTTGAAGGGGAGAAGTCTCTGAGCATGCCCACCTGCCCTGGGAGAGGGATCCTCCACACTGGGAAGTTTACTAAGCGACTGACGTCACAGTCACAGTCACAGGACTAACAGCCACTCCCGTTCGTGTGATGATGTCAGGTTTCTGACGTGCTTTCCAGATTCACCTCCATCCTGTGAGCTGGCTGCTTTAGCCTTCCCATTTTACAGATGAGAAAATCAAGACATGCTCCACTGAGCATTTTAGTTTGTTGATCCTAAAATGTTTGAAATTTGGCTTGATGGCTTCATGAGCCGGAAGGAGAGAGATCCTGTTTATTCTGAGCTTGTGGGGTTCCACACACTTAGGGTGAATGTGAGGAAAGGCTCTCAGTGAGCACGTGCAAAGCAAGCTTCCCTCCCTCTCTCCCTTCCCTCCCTTCCTTCTTCCTCCTTTTCCTTCCCCTCCTTCCCTCCCTTCCTCTCCCTCCCCCTCTCCTTGGCCTCTTCCCTCCCTCCCTTCCCCCCTTTAGCCCGGCCAGCACTTAACTCCCACTCTTTGTACAGGAGAGTAACGTCCAGGCCCTGGCCATCCTGTTCACGTACCACGGCGCGGAGCTGCTGGCCCATCGCCTCGCTATCCTCTCCAATTTCCCAGAGACCACGTCTCCGCACGAGTATGCAGCCCTGCTCCCAGAAGCTTGGTGAGGACATTCTGGCTTTGGAGTTGTATGGTTTCTTCCAAAGCTCTCGAAGGGTGGGGCTTTTTGGTGTCAGGTCACCCGCTTGCAGGCCACGTATCATCTGGAGAGCCTTGCCCTGGGCGTCAGGAGGCCTGGATTCGAGTCTCCCTCAGATGAGGGGACATGCAATGGCTGGATTATCTTAGGGATATGAGGGGAGCGAGGGGTTGTTGCACCTTTAGTTACGACAGCCGTGGAGAGAGCAGAGAGACACAGTGACATAGAGGAGGAGGAGGAGGAGGAGGGCAGTGGTTGGAGGCCTGGCCCTGTGGTGAGGATGCCGTGGGATTGAGTCCTGCCGTGATGGGTGCATGCTACCAGCCACGTGAATCTGGGCCAATCCTCTGGCCTTCCTCGATGCTCAAGGCCTCTCCCGCTCAGATCGTGAGGTGCCGATCTGTATGAGTGAAGAGCATCTTCATACTGGGAGTTCCCTCCGTGGGTGAGGTCATAGGTCAGGCCCATCTGAGTGCCTGACCAGTGATGCCCACAGGCTCCGGATGAGAAGGGCATGGAAACCCCAACAGGGGCCCCAGTTCAGATGTTTGGCTGAAGGGGACGTGGCAGCAAACGGTTCAGAATCCCCATTTTTATGTGTGTTTGCTTCTTACGTTGTTTGAGTGTTTCCTTTTTGTACACTGTTATTCCAATTGATACAAAAAATTGACCCAACATAGAATGTGGGGATTGTACTGGGTGATTTTCAGTCATAGAATCTTATTAAAAAAAAAAAAGATTTTTTTTCATGTTACCAGAATCTTCCTCAGTATCTTTAGTCATCCTGTGTGACAAATGTTTTTAAAGAAAAAGAAGTGGGAGAAGAGAAAGGAAAGTCAGTACAGTCTGCCCAAACTTTGACAACGCCAGCGGCTGTGTGTCTGTCCCAGAGGGGTGGGGCGGGGTCAGCGCAGGCCTGTTTGGTGTGCCGTGACTGTGCACGCTGCGTCATGGCGCTGTCCCGTTCATGGACGTCTTCCCCCGTTGGCGTCATCGCAGTCGTCCTCTCTGTCTTCGTGGACCCCCACGTGTTCCGCCTTCCCCAGTCGAGGGGCGTCTCCTTTGTTTCCCGTTCTTGGCTCTCTCAGTGTTGATGTCTGGGATTTTCTTCCTATTGAGAATCCCAGAATGTGAGACCTGGAGGGGACCTCCGCTGTCGTCCCTCGGCCATCCCCGATGGTGTTTGTCCAGCCTGTGCTTGTTGACCAGCCGTGGTGGGGCACTCGCTGCCTCATGTGGCCGCTGTGCTGCCTGCTCTGGGGGAGCAAGAGAACGGCTTTGGAGACTTCTCCCCCAGGGGACTCTGGGGCTAAGCAGAGGGGTCTGCTCTGACCTTCAAGATGATGTGTTGTGTTGTGCCCTTTTATGAATCGTGTCACCGTTTGTCCTGAAAAGTGCCGTTTGCTTTCAGGCCGCTGGGAAGGGAGGGGGAGGAAGAGGCGCTGGGCTCCCCTTTCGGTTTGCTCAATTTCTCTGGTTCTCTTTAGCTTTATTATTGCAGTAGGTACAATGTTATAGGGGGGTATGTGTGTGTGTGTGTGTGTGTGTGTGTGTGTGTGTGTGTGCGAGCTCATGTGCCTGTCTCTTATTAAATCTTGATTTATTGACATACGAGCCCTAGTACATTGTGGCTAGTTTCTCTGAGGGTCCTCCCTTCCTGCTTGGCCCTCACCCCACATGAACCTTTGGGGCAGCATAAGAAAAGTCGGCTCATCAGCCAGCACTGATTAGGCACTTACTGTGTGCGAAGCACCATGCTGGGCAGCGGGGATACAGGGAAAGGTAGAAATACTCCTTGTCCTTAAGGAGATTCTATCTGGCGGGCAGACGGTGTAATGCGTAGTGGCTGAGAGCCAGCCTGGAAGTCCAGGAGACTTGGGCGTGTCCTGGTGGTGGGCGTCATTGGACCTTGCAGAGAGGGTGTTGACCTGCGCCCAAGGAGAAGGAGATCCTTCCCCTGGGAGTCCCCTGCCCCTCTGACTGCCGGGGCAGTCCTTGTCTCTGGACGGGAGTGGACGCATCCCAGGTTGTTGGTACTTACTGAACTGCATTTTCTTTTGACTTACATTATAATTTCAGAGATGTGTTCCCATGGAAACCAGTTTCACCCTGAGAGTGAATGCATTTCATGCCGTGCTTTCAGGGAGCGGCGTCCTTTCTCATTTGCACTCTGCGTCCATGGAGCTCTTGATCCCTGCTGGAGAAGTGGCTGTGTCTCCTGTGGGTCTGGAGGCAGCATACTTGGGCAGGTGCTAAGAGCACACGGCCACTGGAGCGTTCCAGGGAAGGGAGGAATTCTCCCTTCACATGATGCTGCTGCCCATTCTTTTTTCTTTTTTTTTTGAGGCTATTGGGGATAAATGATTTGCCCAGGATCACACAGCCAGTAAGTGTCAGATGTCTGGTCTGCGGTCGGCCTTGAACTTGGGTCCTCCTGACTCCAAGCCCAGTGCTCTATGCACTGCGCCACCGAGCTGCCCCTGCAGCTGCCCGTTCTTTAGGAGGACTTGACAAGAAGGTCAAGATTTTCTGATCAGGATTGAGTCTGTGCCATGGTACAAATGTGCAGTGGTTCTGGATTTGAGACTCTGACGCTTGGAGTGGAGCCCTAGGGATTAAAACAAAGTCAGTCTGTGTTATTGTGAGTCCGGATTAATCCAGAGTCACTGGGGACTTCTCCGATACACGGGGAGCTTCCTCTCCACTGAGCTGCCTGTCGGCAGCCCGGACCCGCGGGGGCCTCCCGCCCCTTGTCACGGCTGCTTTGGCCAGGTCTTCATGCATCTGTCAGCCTGGGAGGTTCTCTTGAAATGTGGTTTCCTACGTCTGAAAGGTGGCGAGAATGGTCTTGTGGGTCCACGGCCTTGGGATACGTTGTCTGAGCAAAGTCATAAAAGCATCCCGTGCCCCGTCCCCCTCGCCGAGCCTTCCTAGAGCGCTGTTGATACCCACGTGTGTTGGGAGATGTGTGGACGTTTTCCTTGGATCTCTGTCCTCAAAGAAAGTCATCTCTTGACTCTGGAAGTGGTGTCTTGCCCTAAAACCGGAATAGAACAAAACCAAAACTTTCTTGAGTTCTAAAGTAAGCATCAGCTGCTGGCAGCCCTGGCGCACCCCCAACCGTCTCATGGGTAGAGAGCAGAATTTGGGGCCAGCGAAGGCTGAGCTTTCTTCCAGGGCCTTCTCCGAGGGGCCCAAGAGGCCGCCGCACTACGGCGGCGTCACTGACGCCGTTGTCTCTCGAGCCCAGAAACTCCTTCGCCGGCAGGGCCTTGTTGTCTGCCTGTTTTCTCTTTACACCCACAATTCAAGCCGCGCCGTTCTGGCTCTTCAGAGCTTGTCTTCTGCTTATTGAATAGGACGTTCAAGGTGATTTATTTGGGGAATTGATTCCTTGATTAAGCAGCCTGTCCTATCAAGAGAGCCTTGTTCATTTGAAAACCCAGTGAGTCTTCCTTTGTTTAGAGCTGGATGAAGCCTTGCTATGGTTGGCTCTTACAGGAGGAGCCTGAATATTTCACTTTCCAATTGAGAAAGATCATAGTTTATGGTGTCGGTTTTCCAGCCAACAGTGCAGAATCCAAGGGCAGAGTCACAAAGCCGGAGATGCCCTTGGACTTGCCTGATGGAGGAGCCACGTGGGCACCCGTCCCTGCTGCGTGGTCGCGCTCCTCCTACTTTGGGATGCTGTCAGTGAAAGGGAAGCCAGCCCTTCACGGGGTAGCAGGGTCTGTTGTGTGGCTCGATGGGGAGGTGTCCATCCTGGACCCTTTTCCCCATGGGTCTGAATTCTTTCCCCCGACTTCATGCAGAATAAATGTAGCTCCTTTCTTCATGAGAGCCCTTTGGCGCTCATTCAGTAAGATGAAGTGTGGTACAGTGTGTGTAGAGGGCTGGCTTTAGTGCTTGGTGGGATGAGCCGGCTCAAGGCCTGGCTGCATGATCCTGGGCAAGTCACGTAACCTCTAAGTGCTCTAGGCAACTTTCTAAGATGGGGGCCTCTAACTGGGAGTCTGTGAGCTTGTTTTATATAAAAAAATTGATAGTTGTATTTCAGCATAATTGGTTTCCTCTGTAGGCCTTTGCATTTTATCCATTTAAAAGCATTATACTACTAAGGGATCCATAAACTTCCGATCACCAAAGGAGCCAAGAACTGGAGTGTCTTGTTCAAGGATGAGCCAGGAGGCAAGGGTCAAGTGGGTGGTGGGTGGGAGGAGTAATTTTTAAGAGGACCAGAGAGGTTCTGAAGGCCTTTAAAAGCCAAACTGAAGATTTTATCGTTGATCCTGGAAGAAAGAGAGGGTCCTTGGTGTTTATGGAATGGGGTGACGGGAATATTGTTCTAATAGCTGAGTGGAGGATGGACTGGCATTAGGGAGACAGCCCTCCCTCCCCCCCCCAATACTACTTGGCGGCTGATTGGATAAGGGAGGCAGTGGGAGAAGACAGTTAGGTTGTGAGCCTGGGAGACTGACTGGGAGGATGGGGTGCCCTTGATTGTAACAGGGAGGGTTTAGGGGAAGGAGATGAGGTCAGTTTTGGACATGTTGAGTTTAAGATGCCTTTGGCCGGTCAGTCTGAGATGTTCCCTAGGCAGCTGGAGAGAGGAGGCTGGAACTGAGCAGAAGGGTTAGTGCTGGAGAAATAGTTCTGAGAATCGTGTGCATAGAGATGGTAATTGAATCTTTAGGAGCTGATGAGATCACCGTGTGGAATCGTACAGAAGGAGAAGAGAAGGGGACCCCAGACAGAGCCCCTGAGAGCATGTGTGACCTGAATGAGAATCCAGCAAAGGAGGCTAAGAAGGAATGGTCAGACAGGCGGGGAGAGAGCGAGATCTTTCGTGAAGACCAAGGGAGAAGAAGAGTGGGTCAGGGGCTGATGGGCAGTGTCACAGGCTGCAGAGAGGTCAGCGTGGATGAGGATGGAGAGAGATCATCGGTAACGTCGAAGAATGAGGT